CATGGCACTGAAATGGATTCTGTTTTTCAAGATTTATATTTGGGTCTTATTCACTGTCCGAATAGGCACAATTTCAGGGTATATTTCAGGAAATGTGTAGTTGTCCGGGGTAGCTGTTTTTGAATAAATATGGATCTATAATCGAAATCTCGCGTAAATATCGTTACATTGTTTTAATAACGCCCGTCACGTCTTTCATGTAGTCCAAACTAATATATACAGAATTAAAACCACTGTAGCATCTTTATTTGGTATAAATATGGGCATGTTTTTTTTTAATACATTGGTATGAAAATGCTCACACCTTTTAAGGCTCAGCGGCACAATCGTCTGCCTGCATGATGTTGTTCCGTTCGAACTCCACAACATAGTGATAGTGGAGTGCTTTGCCTGAACATTCACCTTGAAAATTCAAGATGAGTGGCACCTTCTACCTAGTTTTAAGTCTAGTGCCCCCTCCACGGCCTGCAACTTTGCTTCTTGCTTAAAAACACGGAAATATTATAAAATAGGTATGAATGACTAGCGATGTTAATTAGCATTGCAGTGGGCGCCAGGCTGTCAGTCAGCCACCAGTCCACTCACCAAACATAATGCAAAATGCTATTGCGTGTTTCAGTTGAAACAGTTGCCCTACGATTCACTGGTGGCGCACTGACGACTATTGGACAACAAACGCACGTGTGTCACAAAGAGCGTACTACGTATATGCCGAGGTTTGTGGATTATGATGATTGAATATGATGCGTATGTTGATTAGTGTGTCTAGAGTTTATACTTGGCAAGTTTGATAATGTAAATAAACAAGGACTGGTAGCTTGTAATTCCGTAGGTCTATATTGCGACTGACAATGTTACTCTACCTCTATTTCTCTATTTATTTATTTTATTTGATTTCTTCTTTTTTTCGTTTTGTTTTGTAGGTGGCAATCTCATAGGATTATGAACCAACTCCATGATTATGATAGTTCACATAATGTTTTCAGGGTGGCTGGACACTTGCTAAATAAAGCGTCATGGTCATTCATCGTACAGCCCACTTGTGTTTTTAAACACGTTGAATACGGCATGGAACCCGTGTCGCACACGAGTGGCACGACAACCGTTTTGCCCTTTTTTGTTAGAAAACAATTAAAAAATTCTTAAAAGATTAAAATCACATAAGATATAGATCCATGTTCGCGAGCACTTAACCCTAAAACGCTTGCGTGCTTTTTTCACGTAAACAATAAAATTATAATTTGACTTTAAACAGTGATGCCAGCCTGAGTCTCTCCATTAAAAGTGTAAATTAATAACATAACAATAGTTGGCGAGTAATTTATGCGAGAGTTGTAATTAAACGTGCATTCACTGGGTGAATGATTAATAATAATAATAATAACCGTTACATAAAAATGAAATGATTACAATTCATTTTTGACTGAAAGTAGAAAACAGAACGTTAAAATAACATAAGATGAGACTGGACAAAGTAATGCAAAACACGCTTTCATATACATTGTCACGTGTCTAATTAGTTTTGGGTGGTTGGTATTAAAAAATGATAATGAACTTGTTGATATTGTTTTCAGACTGGAAAATGGGGATTTCATTAGTAAATTCTGAGTACATAGTATACCTTTCAATTGACTTCAATACTGTCACTCCTACACTAATTACAAATCCTTTAGATATACACTACCTTTAGAAATACACTACCTTTAGAAATACACTATCTTTAGAAATACACTACCTACTTATTGTGAAAATATCAAATCCAATGAACACAAATTCCGGAATCTATTTACGTTTTTAACCCCCTTACCAACTGAATAACCAAAATGTTGTTTGTGCCCATATATAAACAATCATGCTTACTTTAGTGTTTTAATGTTTTTATATAACTTTTTTTAACTTATTCTGCTTATAGTAGAACTCCTTTAGCCAACACTGTCTATATGTATATATTTAAAAAAAAAAAAAAAGAATAAATATGTGATTACACTATCTTGTTATAACAGAAAAGTAATGCACGCTAATCTAGACAACGCCCTCTATTACACCGTTGCAAATGTGTATGTCGGCCTGTGAGGGCACACTCACATATAATGACGCTTTACAGGTATATCATATTTAAAACTCGGGACTTACAAAATAGCTTGTTTATTCAAACACACATTTACCCACTTCGGGAAACAGTGTTCATGGATGAGCCTATTAACACGGTTAACACTAAACTCGTGGTTTATGATTAGACTTTAACGAATTGACTCGTGAGGGCGTACATTAAAAAAATAAAATGATAAGTACTAGTAGTTTGTATATTGTCTCAGAATATCGATTCTTCACTATCGCTTAGTATCGATTTTTAGAGATGGAGATGGTAAATGACAGAACCCTTGAAACAACATCTGTCTATTATCGATATAAATACCATCCTCTAGTGTCGAGCAGAATTTTACATTTCATTTGTTTTGTGGTTTGTCATGACCAGGGATTTTAACACAACAACCCCTTTCTGGGACTCACTATAGGAACTTTGATATGTGTCATGACAATGTATTATAATTTTTTTTATTTTCAACATAGTCAAATGCTAAAAAGCAAACAAAATTACTTTTAATTGTTGTTCTTTGTGTGTGTTGCAATATACTCAATAAATTGAACTGTTGTTCTGAGGTTTGCATTCTTGCTTCTTTATGTTAAGTATATATGATCAAACTTTCTACATGGTTTAAATTCTATTCCTAATAGAATGTAGATGTAGACCAGTATTACAAATTCCAACAAATAATGTGGTAGACACCAGGGTTACCAAATCTTAAATATTAGTGACCCTGATGAGAAGTAGGTGGACTAACTTGCTAGTGCTGTTAAAATCAGCACTAAACGTGCAGTAAATGTACATGCAAGCCTGGAATAATTATGTGCTTTCTTAACGTTAATACATGCTACACAAAACATATATAGTAATACTATCGAACTACAAGGGTGGTTTGGTAAATCTCGACACCATGCAAAATTCCGTGCCGCCGTCTGTACTCGTTTGATTCATTGATCAGTTTGATGTCAAAATTAAATCAATGATATATACTACTTTGCAAATAATAGTGTAGTTGCTGTTGTTATGTGTTTGTTGGTCATTAAATCTTGACGCCAAGGATATTATAGATGGTAGAAAACATCTCAAGATGCTCTAAAACTAGTTCATATCTGACTGTGTGATTAATGCGTATAGTTAACGGGCACGCTAATAAGAGCATGGGTGGGAAGGGGTGGTTAGCTGGTGCTGGATACGGTAAAAAATCACAGCAATAAATGCGTGTTTTTACTTTACAGTTCTAAAAAATGCTTACAAATTACATACGGGGAATTGCACATTTTCAGAAAACAACGAGGGGACAAAAAATAAATACGTGCAAAAAATGAAGTGTAGGGAAAATAAAACTGTTGTAAACAATCTCCTTTTGGGTGTTGACTGTTATCAACGTTATCAACTACCATGTTTGCATAGCTAACAATTTTTGAAAAAGTTGACCGAGCAATAATGGAATTTATGGAAAAGTAAAACGTGGGGATATGCCATTTCAGTCGAAACGTTATAAAAAATGTTGACTCTTTTTTATGCAAGCGCGAATTTCATTCCAAACTGAGTGAGAAGATGAATACAAAATAGATTACTGATGTGCACATACTTTCCTTACATGTTTTGCGGAAGCTTACATTCGGTTCATTCTGGTAGTACTGTTTGAATAGCTTTAATGAAATACCGTATAGGAAATATCACAATAAGTATTTGGCAAAGCATATTGTCATACGAAAGTCAGAAACCAGAAAGATAAAAAGTATTGGTTCGGGGTGTCGAGCAATGGAGGGGACGTCGAAGTATTTAAACAATACTAAATATGGCATGAACAAAAATACATCGTTCTGTTCTGAAAATTTACTTTCATGGAGGAAATGGTACAATCGTTTTATAAAAAATACGAATTCCTCCCACGTGTTAGTCAAGCTGAACGGAAGTGGCAGACATTGACCAGTGACGTCATAGCCAGTCAACAATATTATTGTAATAGGGTAACTCCTACATACATGTGATTTGCATGCAATGCTTTGTTGACTGTTCATTGACCCAATTACCAATATCCAGGACAACTGCTGTTCAAATTACTGTTTCGTAAATACATTTACCTTGGGAGGGGAAAGAGGGTGCATGATGCTTTCAAAGTATCGTTACTAGCTCCCTCTGGTCATTTTATTTTCACATTTCTTTTCCCTCTGCTATAAAGCAACAATTTTCAGCAATGTCCAATTTCTGTCCCCAAAGATTGGATGTGAATATTTTCCAGAAAGCAGGAAAAGCTGTTCAGTTTCACTTGGACAAAATGAGAAGGGGAAAATGACTATTTTTAAGTTGGACATTCAAAGCATTGAGCTGTTAAAAATAGATTGAGATTATCAGTTGATCGCTTGGTTGTAGAGCTGGTGTTAACCGGTTCTAGCGATATTGGGAGATAGCGTTTTTATCACAATCATCTAATTAAAGGATTATATCTACAATTTCACATCCATTGATAAATTAGGATTTTATGAACTAGATCCAATCATGAAATGAGGGATGCCTTGTATTGAATTTGGAGTCATTGCATGTCTATTACATGAATGACACATGTTCAATTCTCGGGTAGATTTGTACAAGAAATTTACTTCTAAAAGGACTATTGTCTACAGCTGGGAGAGAAACTATTTTAATACAGAGTTCCAGTTGTAATGTATAATTCCTCTTCATTTTGACTACAAAAATGTTAACGCAATCCCCAGAATAGTGTATTCAACAATAGTCTTGACTACATTTTATCTTTGACCCTTATCCTGCCAGCGCCATGTACTTTTACATTGATTTGACCAGATAGGAGTTAATTTTCCAGGTTACTGGTCATCTGTTCAGTATGCCAAAACTTGGCCAATTTTGTGGATACTAAGTTTCATTTCACTTATATAGTTCTGTATTTGCAATGCAAATATTTGAAAGCACAAGAATCAGTCAACCATTTATAAGTTATCACCCTTTAAAAGTTTATTAAATAAGCTAACATTAAGTATATCTCTATTACACAATAACTACTGGTACATTTGATAAAATATTTATAATTTCTCCCATTGAATAGAAAACATTTTAAATTACACATTTAGGCGGTCTAAAATATTGAGAGGAGCTTCTCTGTATACCCATCTCTTCAATAAGTTTAAATTCAGTTAGAGAAGGGAGACCGAGAAACACTTTAAAATGTAACAAATATCTTATATCAATAAATAAAGTTAAAATATACACACAAAGTTTTCACAAACACATTTTGCATGGCGTGGTTTGATCAAGTCCCACTCCCAAATTGTATGATGGATGGGCACCTGTGAAAAGTGAACCAAAGGCATTGGTCCTGCAATTTTGAAAAAAGGGGCTAGGTTCAGATGAGACGAGCCTCTTGAAAATTGGTATTCCTAGATTGATTAGAAAAAAAATCTGTTTGGAATGATTGTTTATTGGGTATGCATCAATCGTTTCCGTCACTTGCCTATTGGTCCAATGATAAGAGAAAGTATATTTATATTGTGTACTAAATCTAAAATATTGACAGGAGAAACCATGTGCAAACAATCGACGAGCTTTTTTTAAAAAAATATTTGGCATTAATTAATATGACATAATAAAACAGCAGCTCTGTCAAAAAATAAAAAATTCTTACAAAATTTACAGTTTCCAAATTGCTGAACTACTAGAAATCTGGTTACTATATCAGTACCATGCACAGGAGCTGTCTGATTTGAATGCTTGCTAAAAAAAAAAAAAAGACAATCCATCGGTAGCCTAAAACAGGTTTGGCTGGAAAGGGGTTGGGCAATTTAATAGGTGCTCTGGTTTACTACGCTGAACTGAAAATATAAATATTCTTTACCACACCTTACAAAAAAAAGAGCAATTTCTGACAATCTGCTCGAACAAATACGCCATATTTACATATTGCACCAAGGAATTGACCAAGCTGAATGATTCACATCACATTAAGACTTGAAAATTTGACAGATTTACAAAAAAACAATTACAATTTCAGCCACATTTCAGCATTCGCCATTTCTCTCTAAGCAGACTTTTTACAATAATGTCAACTTGTTAGTTGCATAGCAATGCCACGCCACAGCCCTCTTGTCAAAATACATTAAAAGTACAAAAGCAAAATGACAGCTATTAAACATGGAAGGAAGTCCTTGTGTATTTGATACAAACTCTGCTAGCACCTCAATAAATTAAGACCGTAGAGGCAGAAGTAAAATTATGGCAAGTTGCAGAGACGAGAGGCAGTTGCCGAATTTAAAAGTTGAATAATAACCATCATTCTATATCACCTTTAAAACCACATTATCATGTGTATGGAGAAGGGGTAGACAGGTTTGAAATTCATTGTACAACTTTTTATCTGACATCAGAGTCCTACGATTAGAAAGTCTGACATGATTAACTATTCGTCACGCCAACACAGAATTGTAGTACCATACGATTTCAAAATCTTCTGTCTGGGGTTGTTGATGCAACTTGTCTCTGATAAATTCATTTTTGAACTGTGAATATCTCTTCCCAATGAACCTGCATTGTTTTTAACAATATCTTATAAAATAATATAAATATAACAGCCATTGAAGGCTCAGTCTTATAAAATTTGGTTTTGCCATGTGATTGCGCGTTACTGATAAAGAAGGTAATTCCGCAGTACTGTTGGAAGAGGCAAGTCATGCACTTTATGTAGTCTTTCTTTGCCAACAGATACTCTGATTGCACGTCGACACAAATCCATAAGAGGCAGAGGTTCAGCTGTAACAAAAAAATAAATAAATAAAAATTAGTTGTTTTAACACTAATAGCCGCCTACATTTGCAGGATAGAGAATCACAATCTGTATCAATATACATGAAATGGGTTGCTCAAAGAAATTGTAGGTGGGTTCCATTCTAACCATGAAATTAAGCACAAGTGACCGCCCACAGAATACATTTATGATGAATACAAGGTTGTCACTAGTATCTTGTGAGCAAAAAAGCAACCCAATATAGCTCACTGTTATACTAACAAAAGTGCAAGATTGATAGTTCAAATGTTACAATTTGCAAGTAGAGACCAAATACTGGCAAAACAGAGCTACATTTGCAATACTACTTTGCTGGGCTTTTCTTTTACAGTAAATTACATGCAAGACTGACGGGCAAGCAAGGAATGCAAGGCAAGCGGTGACATGTTCTCAAATTATACATCAATGCTTCCTTCAGTGTATTTTTAGCATCAAATTTAGTAGCGATACTATAACTGTCAACAAACATGCACCTACTGCAATACAAAATGTTCTGCTGGACGGGGTTTGCAAAAATGCATGAAAGAATGATCAGCCGTTTATACAAGTGGAATTAAGCTCCAAGTATGATGATATATTTGAGAAAATGCAGAACCAGCAATGTACTCTCAACTGCCAGGGATATGCAACTTGCATAAACTAATATTACTGATGTTGTTAAATCCAGCCTTGAAGCTAAGGTCGTTTCAATAATTTATTTCCTTTTATAAGTTTATTACCAGAATAAATCAAGTCGGATACTGATATTACAGTCTCTTCGTGACAATATGAATTCATCACTATGCAAATTCAATTCATTAAATCCAGTTGTATTTTTTAGTTAATTTAACTAGTTACACAAATTAAACTATAGTTACAGTATAAAGTAATATACGCAATGATTACCTCATGTGGGGAAATTTTGGTTCAGTAAATGTAACAGGTTCTTATTACTGGTAATCACTATTGACACAAATGTTAAAATAAATTTATGGTTTTCTCAAACATAAATCAAATGTTAACTTTATTTAACACTAACTGAATAAAATGGCCAGCTATTTTACCATTCAGCATTTCATAATTACACTTATTTCAGATGAAAAACCATCATCATGACTTAAGTCAAATGTTTCTAGTAACTTTAAAAAATGACTGGGCATGCTTCATTTTATATTTTTGTGTATGTGCCATACTTTATTATTGCTAACACATAATTATGATTTAAAACTAGAGATGTGAAAAAAAGAACGTCAAAGTAAATTAAAAAATACAACATTTGTAAAATGGCTAATTTGCATATCAATAGTTTTGATTTAATTTGCATGAATTCTCCCAAAATACTGGTATACAGGTTACCAGAAATGAAGATTTATTTGGCTTTCAGTTTACTTTGATTAACTATATAAACATGAACTAATACTTACGATCAAGTCCACCGATATATTGCATTGTTATTTCACAATGTCCCCATACTGCACTCACAATGGGGTAAAGTTTCTTCCCCTTAAGTCCTCTAAAAGCAATTCCTAGGTATTGTCCATCAACAACAAAACTTAGGGTTCCTTCATCCATGTCAAGAACAACAAGAAATTTATCAGGCACAACAAAGTTTTCATCAGAGTTCAGAAGACTTGGATACGTTAGTCCGGGATTATTCTTCACATCATGGTAAAGTTTGTTCCTTCCAAGATCCCAGCCCCACGATTCACAGTTGCTTCCAACTAATGATTGATAACCAACACAATGTAAAGGTGCATTCTTAGTGCCAACTCCAACAACAGCATGTGTACCTCGTTGACGTGTACTCCAGTTGATTTCCCAAACATGAAGTCCACGTGTGAATCCTTGTTTACCCCGTATACAGTCAGTACTTTGTGCAACAGGATGACGATGGAAAGACATTGGATCATCTTCTTTCACAAATATGTTTAATGATCTATCACTTTCATTCCAGGAATGTTTATTTTGCACATCCTTGGGAGCTCTTGGCATGTCTAAGAGAATATCAAGACGGCTTGGTTTGTGCAATTCCATATTGAATATGTAGTCTTTGTGGATAGGCTTATACACTGGATCCCTTGCTATGGTCTTTATGCCTCCTGATACCTTTTGACCCATGGTTGCATCAGGAACAACTCTGATAAATAAACTGCAAGTCGATAAACGACACAAATTAGGAACTTGAAATTACTCGCACTTGCAGATCACTAATTAATAATAATCCACCAGATTTCTAGAAAGAAAAAGAAGAAAATTTATTTAATGAAACATTTTGTTTGTTGAGTATGCGAACAACCAGCTAAGCATAGATCTCAGCGCTTTAAAATGGGACAATCAAGGACAATGGCACTAGGTCTGACTGGAGATAAAAGATCCTTCATGCATTCAAATGACCCTACCTAAAGGACAAAACAAGTCTACAAGGACATTCACTGCATTTCCTCTCAGTGAAAACAAATTTTATATGACTGAACGCAACTGTATTATTTTTAACAGGACTACTATAAACAATACTGAACTAACAATACAGTTAGTATTAGACAAAGGAATTCACAAAAGTATCATGGTCACTGGTTAAAAATAGGAATGTTGACCTGTCTCATGCAAAGCATTGACCACTTAAAGCCATATAAGGAATGTTCACCCTGAGTAGCAGCCATTTTGATACTAACAGGAAACCATGCATGGTTCCTTCCCTGCTGTGTAACTAATTATTAGTTTGGCAGCAATTTTAATTATACCAAGTAACCTAGCAAATTTCAATAGTTTAAATTAATGTGCTTTAGAATGACAAATTCTAGTTCAAGACATTAAGAAAAATATAATTTAGCCAGTCCCACTGGAACTATACTGAAGAATAATTCAAGACAAACAATTATATAGATCAACACTTCGTTGTGTCGTCACCGGAAGCGCTGTCCCAGCACAAACCTGTGTCATATGACGCCTTACTAGCCGATTTTGGCTAAACATTCCGCTCCGCCGCCTCTTTATAACAGTGTTTATACGCGGAACTTGATATTGCTTTTTACAATTTGGGTTGCCTTTGAATCACATATTTTAGTGAAACATTGTTTATAGAGTGAAATATTATTGTCATACATAATTCAATCTTTGAAACAACAGAAACACATAATAACGATAATCAAATTTGTGTTTGAACTTTCGAAAGTGGTTGCGTTATTTCCGGTTACAACTAGTTCGAAAATAGAACGTCCTTGAGCGCAATAAAATCACGCGTAGAACTCCATCCGAACCAGACTCTGGTAGCGTAAACTTATTGCAATTTGGGCCCAGTTTGTTCTTACAAGTTTTCTAAGTTTCATTTATCATTATTTAGTAAACAGGTCTCTGAAACGATTTAATATATCCGTAAAATACGTGGCAATCGACGATTGACTTCGAAACGTTCGAAATTTCGAACAAACTCCCGGCACACCTTGCGCGATATGCATCAGATCGGTGTAGAAATGATCAACACTTTAAATGCTTACTATTACCGGTATATAACTAGGTTCATTGTTTCCCAGTAAATAGCACGATAATTAATGTTTAAATTCACACATCAATTATCATGCTACTTACAGGGAAACAATGAACCTAATTAAATACATTAAGCAAAGGCATGAAATACTTTGTAGTCACAAGATACACTACCAATGCTGTAAACTTATTTTAATAAATTAAGGTAAATTTACATTTAATCTTAAACACAGAACTGTAGATATTCCAAAAACAAAACACTGACTACTATAGTCAAGGCATGGTAACATAGCCTAACCACCTCAAAAACAAAGATATAATCTCAATATTCAAATACCAGTGTAATCTGCATAGTTTCATTTGAATCAAACGTACCAGTCGCAATTGGCTTAGATTATGCTGAATTATGTAAAATGAAATATTTACAAATGCCACAGAAAAAAAAATTAATGTACTTAGTGTCACTAATTGTAAACAGGAAGTTGGCAATGGCCTCTGTCAACTAAAGATAAGTAATTTAAATTTTGGTTTACAGAAAAATAATTTATGAAGAAATTGCACATTTCGAAACAAAAGTTCTAAAAATAGGCCATGGAGAAGATGGATGCTAGTACCTTCCTTGTTTAGAATAGAGGATGAGACGCGTGTCACTAGAGGCTTGTTGTTGATAAGGGTAAGGGGGTGGACATTATGTGTAGTCTCTGCTGGTTCCCAATTAATATTAATAGATGGGACCCCATATGGTGTGGAGTAGAGAACAATAGTGAGAACCAAATGAGCCCTACAAAATGCTCAATACGATTAATACTAAATATTTGCATATTAATCAATACGAGATAGACACAATGAAACATCTTTATTCAACATCTCATAATTGTAATTCAAACTTAGTCTTCACAGCAAACACCAATCTTTGTCTTTTTCAAAACAGGCCAAGTTGTAACAATATTTTAAAAAGGCCGATTCTGAAATCTGAATGCATGATTTGCAGCATGCTTTGACAATTATTAAAATACCATGGACACTAACATTTTTGTTTTTGTGTTAACAAAGACAACAAAAATTCAAGGCCTGTTACAATACAAACGAAGCACTGTTAAGTTGATAGATAACTAAAATTAAAACAGCCTTCTCACACCCCTTTATTTGGCTGGTTGTAAATGGTACATTTTATGGAATTTTTAAGTGTTTAATCAAAGGCGCACGATTTAAGCGCGTCACCTTGAAATCAGAATGTCATTTTACATTAACCTTGGTACTGAATGAAATCTATTGAAACAGGGCCAGCATTCAAGGACGCGACACTGAGTAATTATCAGTAGAGACCGTGGTGGCTATTTCACATTGACCAAGCAAATTCGAAAAAACACGCATCAATTTGGTAATAATTTTTCAATTATCCCAAACGTTTCATGTCATGGGAAACACGTAGACATTAGTCATTTAAACCGGCATTCCTTTGCGAATGATTCATAAAGCGACAAGTAAATTGGGTGTGTATTTGACGAAATGATCGCCAACCTGCGAACAGACAAAGGGGTTGTCGGTCAAACCAATGAATGGACGTACATTATAATGTCGCACACAGTTCTTCGCCAAAAGAGTGTTGAATTTCTTTTCTTTGGTTCGACCAGACACACATAACATAACACCACTTTTATCATATAGTTATATAAAATATAGAAAGTGACACCAAGGGATGAAAATCAAATACAGTTTAGAAAGGCCGACAAAGAAAAATGCATCGAAAATTAAGAGAACCGAACAGCTGTTAACGGGTTTGCCAGCATGGAATTCATGTCGGCAAAACTTTGTTGAATGCGGTACAACACAGCACGGATAACTCTCTAACTGATACGAACGAGGGAGATAAATTTGAGACATACTTTTTGATACAAATGAGGAATATAAGCCGAAAAATAATAATGAATTTCACGCCCGGAAGTCTGTGTACGTGAACAAAATCCGTGAAAATGGGACAAAATATAGAACGCACACATTTTCAATATCAAAATGAGAGAAAAATACTTACACAAAGAAAATTGGTCCTATTTTGTTGTAAATAAGCTGAAATTGGACGTGGTCGAAGGTGTGCTGTGTTTATACCCTCCTGTTCCAAAACTGTGGGACTAAGCTGTGGTCACTGCTATAAAACCAACAATAAACTGCGATTATTCAAGGACCGTAGGCTCATAACAAAACCAATATGGCGGAGCAGGTCAAGGCAGGACGTCACGTGACCTGGTTTCAACCAAGTTGTTTCCTGCTAGTTACTTTTTGTTATTAAAGATATGTTCATGCAATGTTTAGCTAACATTTATATGTATACTATAATTTAGACAAAAATACACAATTTTATTGTTGTTTTGACCCTACATTGTAAAAATTAAAGCCATCGATTAAAGTTTGTCTCGACGAACTACACAGATCACCCCCATAAATTAATAGTCGGGTCTTCTGACGTCACTCGCCGAGGACGACGCAATCAAATTGAAGAAGTCCTTTGTTATGTTGGTTTTTAACGCGCCAATGTCGTATATGGTTAAAGATTTACTAAATATAGTCATACACACGTAAACAAGTCTCGGTAAATGTTTTTTTCTTCGAAGCCCATTGCGATTGTACAAAACACATTTTTATTGTTTATGTCAAATAATATTGAAAGAAGACATTCACAATACTGTGAACAACCAGGGTGATGGTTGGAGTATATTATTTGTTGCCAAGATAGAGTGTGTTGCATTTTACATCATTGTTTATCGGTGCTTTGACATAGTAATGTGTATGCTGCGCACGTCACTAGGGGTAAATCACCGTATATCCCCGGTTAGCAGGAAATGACCAGTGATCCCCGGAAATTTTATCCACCTTCGGACAACGGACGTATTATTCAGATTTAGCAGAACAACGAACTTTGGATAGTGGAGTCACCCCGTGTAGGCTTGGAGAAGCATCGCAACGGATCACTAGTAAATAAAATATGAAAATACAGCAAATTTCTTTGGTGAGTATTTATTTATTTATTTATTTGCTTACTTATTTGGCGTTAGCTTATTACGGGGACTCACACACAAGGGAGCTGCAAATAACAATAAAAATCGTGATTATTATTTGAAGCACAGTCCCTCTATGTTTGAAGAAACCATTTATAGTGTTGATATTACGTAATGAACTTTGTGGGCAGTGTTGTAGTTTATTACTTGTTTACCCCTCTTTTGTTTATTCTCATCAATTAGTTTTGTTTACTGAACAAACACACTCATACGGGTAGATAAAAAATAAAAATAAACGCTCGTTTTCTACTCTACTTGCTTTTAAACATGTTTCTATCTCAATTATTGTAGGATATCTATTTTTGGATGTCACGACCGCGTGGTTGTGGATCTATTGTGTTTTTATAGAACATTGGCCTTCACATGCCGGCCTCGTAAACTCGTTGCTAACTGCCTAGTTATAAACAACTTTGAACGTGGCTTGTGTAATTCATCGTGAAGGTTGCGAAGTGATGACCCCATGATGTTCAATATCACGTCCGAGGACAGACAACAAACTTAAATGTGGTCAGTGAACTGCGCATGCCTAGAACGTGACTGCGCAACCTGTGATACCTATTATCCCATGTTAGAATTATCATGGAAGGTACTAACGTTAGTATCTTCCATGGTATTAGTCATAGACGTGAAAATATGACGCTGTTTTGAATATATCTGATATCGACACAGTCACTCGATGAGGATGTTCTTCTATGTACACATCCTCGCTGGGTGACTCTGGATATCAATTATTGGAAAAGTGGTAAGCACACTTATATTTCAGTTATTATGTTCGAAGAGCGGTGGTCGTCGCGCCGCGTTCTGTTCGATGGAACTCATAGCAACGTATAAAACATGTAAAATACATTGTTTATTTACGTGAAATTCGAACACGACCATCGTCCTTTCATGTCTAATTTCAAGCTGTCTGTAAATTATATTACTGTACATATTATTTCTCAGGATAAATAATTAATAAAGCAACATATACATTAACAACATATAACTAGCACCATGTTTTTTATATTCTATAATTTACATCAAATATTATTTTCACTGAGGTGTCGCAACCATTTTTGTTGACAGGCAGTTGCTAAGTGTCCCACTCGACTTTAGTGGGTTGTTAACTCCTCGCGATAACATAACAACGTAACAACATAACAACTCTGCTCGCCCAAACCTAGTACGGACCTAGTATTTCACGTTTAATTCCTAAACATAATTCACCAATTCAGAAAAGGTCTAAATAAAGGGCATATCATATTAGCTCTTCCGAATAATTTAAAATAATTTGTTTTATTATGCGTGGCTGCTTCGATCGTGACAGTGACGGGGTATCAGAATGCAACTAATGGTTTCCGCGTAACCAGCGGATTACTAGTACTCATGGTCTGTATTTCTTTAATAATTTTTCAAACTAAACACCCGACTGACGAAGTCTAGTGCATCAAATGCAGAAGCTTCACCAACCACCGACTGACTCTGGCGGATTCAGTTTATGCAGCGAATCTTTGGCGCATACAGTGGTGGACAATTTGCCAATGAGTATCATACAAACAAGGAAATCTCTTTACTTTACGTGACAGAAACACCCATAACTATCTAACTATGTTCTAACAGGGGGGGGGGGCAATAGGCGTAGCTGGTACAGTTTTAGTACGGGAAATAAAACGGGCTTTTTACAATTTACAAAGAAAAAAAGAAGTTTTTACAGTTTTCAGTGAAAATTAATTTTTGCAGTGAATTGTTGTCATTTAGTCGTTTTACAGTTTAGAAAATGTAATTTCCCTGGATTATTCTTTACGACTTTTTTTATTTGGATGTAAATTCTTGTACGTACCGAGAAAAATGACACATTTTTACAGTGTACAAAAAAAATATTTGATTGATTACGTTGTACGTCTAGCCTGTGATTACAGAATTACGGAATTTATTTTTTCAATTTACCTTGTACGGCGAACAAAAAAATATTGCAATTACGTTGAACAAAATAACCCTGCCCCCTTAACAAATGTCACCGGATGTCGAGGCCTGGGTTACGACTACTGAATGACCACAAGTTCCATCAATGTTTGCTATAGGTGACCCGGATTAGTCATGACTGTGGGAATGTGTCCACCAACGTCATCAATGAGCGTGGATCACGTGGTTTGGAACTCTGCTGGGAGTCATCCTGGGCCAGGGTACAAATTTGATAAATAAAAACATATTATAGCACTTTTAAATCTTGTATTAAATTTGAACAATATTTAGAAAATACCAAAAACAGGAAATTTAGAAATGCTCTAACCAAATTCAGGATTTCAGCCAATCAGCCAACCATCCAGTCGAAAAAGGTCGACATAGAGGCATCAAAAGAGAAGACAGATTCTGTCATCTGTGTAACTGTAATGAAGTTGGTGATGAAAAACATTACCTTTTCTGATGTAATCATGACAAAATTAGGGAATTAAAAAATACATTATTTACAACAATCTATGTTTACGCGCCTAGTCTACAACTATTAGCTAGAGTGGATTTTTTGTTTCGATTTTTTCAAGTTCTGATCTTTTTATCTGTAGTAGTCTAGCAAAATTTGTTTTTCATGTTTTAGAATTGTTTTAACTTATTTTGTTTGTGTTATTTTGGACTTTACACTAGCTCTGTATTGTGTACGTGCCAAATAAAATATCCTATCCTATCCTCACGGTCACGGGGTTAAATTTAGAAAAATTGAAACAACTGAAATAGGTTCTCTGAAAAAAAGTCATACAATATTAGTAATCGTCTTATACGATTGATCTATATTTTAACACCACTGTTGTTACTGTCTCAACAGATCAACTTTATTGACAAATCATCCTATAAAAATTATTAGACAACTGACATTAATATTACCTAATCACACACCAAATTGCGCCCTCATAGTTTGACTTTGTCTACGTAGTCTGACGAATCGTCTGTACCAACCATACAAGATGGCGACTACGGAGAATCGCAGCCAGCCTCCCTCCATTCCTAACGGCGTAAAGTTCTTGTTTGGAGGAGCAGCAGGGTAAGTCACCTGTGCATAGACTTGGTCATTATTATGTATCTCAGATAAGAAATTTTAAAGATAAGTGATATACTATTCTTGTTGAAAGATGAAATTAGTTTTGGTGCCGGGAAATGCCGTGCTTACCGGGCGGTCGATCCAAAGAATTTGTCTGGCTCTTTAAACCGATGGTGAACATATTCTTCTTCATTACATATATTTACTAATCTCAGCTAATCCTCGGCGAATCTAAAGTTGTAACTATTTTCGGCTAGAGCCTTTCTGCAGCTCATCGACCAAAAGTTCGTTGAGGTCAATGTTCGCTGTCGTCAAGGCTCATTAATGTGCGTGACGTAGGCGTGACCTAGTTTGACATCAAAGCAAATTACAGCTCTTTGCTTTTCAGGTTTATATCGTAAACAAAAAGTGTTTATTCGTTTGACGTAATGAAATTGATAAAAAAGATGAAATCACTTCACAAATATATCAACAAATATAAGAATAATATTAATTAAGTATTTACCCTATATATAAAATTTGTGAAATCCTGTCCCTAACTCCCTTGGCTATTTATTATCACAGTTTTTTGTCACCGGAGTGATTCATATCGCACAGGCATGAATAACATCTAACCGCTTGACTGAATTAATGATATTATTGATAAATCATGATAGATTTCTTTTGATTTTTAGTCTGCTGGGTGTCTATAAACATAGCAACGTTGTTTTTGTGAATATAGAACATACCCTTTTCCAGTAAAGGATTTTGATATGCCAATTGAAACATTTTAACAATTCCTTATTGGAACATCTTCTGTATAAATAGTCCTTGACTCACTAAAATTTGACAATAGTACTAACCCAGAATAGACTTCCTGTTCAGCGCATCTTTAATTGTAGCAATCACCTGACTGTACGTAAAGACACATTTATTTGAACCTTTTATTTGTAATAGAACTGAAGCAAGTAGATGGAAACATCGGTTGCATTACTCCATGCCATTACAAAATGCCAGACAGTA